GGTGCTTTTTGCACTTCGCTGAATTCTTGCCCGTTCCAACAAAGGAGGCATTTATGGGGGACAGTTGGAATGAAGGTGGTTCCTAAATACTTCTGTTTAAAAATTAAAGAAATGGGCACTAGAAACAGGAGAAGAGCAAGGTAAACATGCAATAGGTGTGGAGAGCTACCTCGCTAATACTTGTGGAGGAAAGAGCATCCATAACATGGTGAGATGGATTAGTAGTGTAGTATTTCTGCTAGAATAAACTAAAATGCTTAAATAATGGTGTAGTGAAGCATACCAGGAAAAGCTTGCACTTGAAATGGTTGAATATTGGGGTGGAACTAAGAAAATAGCAGTGAAGATAAATGTGGGAAGGGAATGTGCTTTATAATTTGACATGAATTTCAAGATCTGACTGATTCATACATGAAAGCATATTTCTCAAAATGTTGTACTGATTCTATTAGTTCAGTTCTTTGTTTTCTTGAAAATCTAAGAGTTGGCGTAATGGACTGCCGGGCAGGTAGTTGTGTTAAAAGTGTAGCAGTTAATTTTTGTAGGGGGAGAATGCTTCGGTAGACCTTTTAAAAGAAAATAAGACTCTTCATACTAATGCACTTGAATAATGTTGGTTTACATACTGAAGGAGGATAGTGAGTGCTGTTTGCAAAGTCATCTCTCTACTGGAAGTAGAACAAGCAACTACCAGGCTCTCCTGAGAGATGCTACTGCCTGGTGGGAAAGAATTTCCTGGAGTAGGATGTGGGGGAAGAAAGGCCCAGTTCCTGTGATTGTCTGTTCAGATGTTCAGCTTGAATTTGATTGTTATCTGCCTCAGAGAGGGTCTGCAGGGAGATCTCTTACTCCTGATGGTAGGATCAGCTGTGAGGTCAGACCAGATTGCCTAGGGCTTTTTCAGCTGGATGTTGAAACCCTTTGAGGATGGAGAAGGTGTGTCGAGCTCTGTGGGCAGTGGGCTCTGTTGCTTCACCTTCATGAGGAGAAAAAAAATCGTGCTGTATCTATCCAATTGAGTCTTTTTCTTAGTCTGCCTAGCAGGACTATATGGCCCTCATCGGAATGTGAGAAGTTTGGAAAGGCGCTCTGGAGGACTTCAGAATTTGAACAGTGAGGGGTGGTTTTGTTCTGAAATAAGCACGCTGTTTAAGAGAAATGAACAGTTAAGCATGTTTGAAATTGGATGTTACGGTGCTTTTGCAGCCATTTGAACAGTTTTCAGTGTTAAATTACAGATTTGAGTTAACAGATAAGTAGCTGCCTCAAAGTTGTGTGAATAAATTAATACTATCAATGCAAGCTTTTCTCTAAAGATCTGGGACTGGCTATAAAATTGTATCTTGCTGTGGAGTATTTTAGGGTGAATTGTACTAGCTCTCCTTCAAAATGTCTAAGATATGATGTTTGTACTGATACTATGTTGCAATTTTTTCCACTGTTGTATGAGCAATTCCTTGCCAGCTGGATTTATGAACTTGACATGTTCTCATGAGTTTATTAATGTTCAACAGCTGTGTTCTGCTTTTAAAAAAAGAAGTTTGTATCACATCATAGTAGTTCTCCCTGTTGTCTTCAAATTAACTTTTGAGTTTATTCTGCCTCCAATAAAGGCAGAAGAAAAAATGTTTTTTAGAATTGGGTATTGGTGAAAAGAAGCATAGAAGGAGCAGAAGTGTTAAATCGGAGAAACAGTAGGTATTTTGTCAGAACTTCTAGGACTTCAGGTTCTAAAATGATGGCTTTAAACTTTTATTGTTAAACGTTTGAGATTGCATAATGTTTTGCTGATTATTGATGATGCAAATATAATAGCTTGACTAGCAGCTGAATTTGAAAGAAACAGTAACATTCATACATAGTTTCTCAGCCCACACACTGGGCTGTCATATGAAGAAGATCGGTGTGGATAGAAAATAATCCCATAACAGATTTTAAGACTTCCCTGCAGACACTTACTTTTTAAAATTAGCGCTTTAAAATTTGGGAATGGGGGATAATGAAAGTAACTTCTATGTTTACTGTATCTGGGCTATTTCTGAAATGCCATTTAAATCTTTTTAACCGTAAAGAATTCAGTAGGTTGTCCCTGCATCGTCTAGTTCAAGAAGCCTAAAGCTGTTTGTGCTTCACGTTTATAACCATTTTTTGCATGTGTGTCGCAATTTTATTCTTTATGTAAATTGCGTGGAGTTGCATTCTGTTGCAGAGTATTTTCGCAATATAGAAATGAGCCACGCTCATTACTTCTGGGGTAGCTTCATCTTAAAAGCAAGCGTGAAGTGTTTGTAGAAAATTTTTTTATTTTGAGATGAGTAAAGAGTTTTGGTGCTTTTTTTATGAGTGGTCCAGGCTGTGTACATGATCAGTCATAAGCAGTTTTCTTTTCTTGAAAATAACTTGATGCTTGATTAATGGTGAAAGCTTTTGTGATAAGAGTTTTTATGACCTACAGACAAGATGGACATCCAGAAGTAACTATTTGCGTTGGTCCACTTGGCATTGTCAGTGAATTTTCCTATTTGCGTGATTTTAGTTTCCTGATACAGCCATTTGTGCAAGTGTTCTTGAATTAATTTAGTCATTTAGGGCTCTGTGGAGAAAACCGATCATCTACAGTCTGTGTGGATCGTAGATCAGTAGCCATCAGTATATCTGATGTGGAATGCTTGACTTCATTTTGACAGGTGCATGTTCGTTTCAGGATTTACATTCTGCTTGTCCAGGGTATGTCTTGAATCCAGAAGGCACAGAGATTTCTGGTATTGTAGTAGTTCAGTGCAGCTATCTGTAAGATGTGTGATACTGCGAAAAATAATTTGCCAGCTATTTTAATCTCCAAGAAATACTCATTGAGGCTTAGTACAGCAGAAATACTTGTCTTTCACAGAAGGTTTTAAAGGACTTCTGAGGAAAAAACACGCATGTCTTTTTTGGGTGTGTATGTACATCATCTTTCTGGTAAGCCACGTAAATCCAGATCAAATTTGCATGTAAAATGAACATTATTAAAAAGCCAAGCACTCCAAAACTTCATTTTCAGTGGCATTAGAACTGTTCCTTGAATGCAAACCAAAGGTTTATGGTCCGACTTTATGCTTAGTGCTATGGAGGCAGGAGGGAGGTGAAGTAGAGGCAGGAGAAAGGCTGGGGAGCCCCTTACCTGCTCTCTGCTATAAAATTTGCCTTTTCCAGGAGAAGCCGCTGTGGAAGGGTTCTTCACACTTCAGTGTAATCTGTGTTAAGTGCTAGTCTGACTGACATACGTCTTGGCAAAAAAATACTCTTAAAATTGTTATACTGTTACATTAAGTAGAAGTACTTGCAGACTGCTTGTACGAGGAAGAGTTTTTCCTCCCATGATCTTTGGAAACTTTGCTATTTAGGTATTAAAAATGGCACAGTAACCTATGGAGAAATGTGAATAATGCTTGAAAGTTGTCGGCCTCCCAGAGATAATCTTTGATCTATGATATTATCATACTGTTTCCCAGTAGAAAGAGAACTGTTTTCTTCAAATCCTCAAGCTTTGAAGCAAGTTGTGATGTAGAAAGTAATTTGGATCTTACTAACTAGAAAAAAATGCCATCGGGGTTGCTTTTAGTTTGCTGCTACAGGTTTTGATAAACTCTGTTAAATTTAAGAATTGTTAGAGATCTGGGCACTTAGACTGTTCAGGCAGTAGGGATTTCTTTAAAAATCTTTGCTACAGGTGGTTAGCTTAAGTGGATCTTGTAATGCAAGTGTTTTCTAAACCTATAGCTCCTGCTAATCTGGATGATAGGTACTGAGCAGGGGGGAAACACCAAGTGCATCTCTGTGTTTGTCATAGGCTGTCGACTTGCTTTGGGTTCAGTGGGAGACCGTGTTTCATGTTCTCCCTATAATCCTTCTGCCGAATACAGAGTCTGGTTGATACTCATCACTAGATGGTGTCCCTTCAACTGAATCCTGCATTTCTAGATTGCGCAATGTGCAAGAGACGTGTCCTTTTATATTTTGGGTAAATTTCAGGTAAGTATGGGAGTACCAGATGAGAGTGCTGTACTGCTCCTTTCTAAGAACTGCCAATGCTGTAGGAGTGTAGTGGCTTTCAATTGGCCAGAAACACTGCAAAACAATCTTCTGCAGGACAAGTGTTAGGGGAAAGAGGATGAAGTAATTTTAGAACCCAAAGACTTTGTAAAATAGTTACTATGGCAAGGGGCACATAGAAATAAATGAAAGCAGCAGTTCTGATTGAATCTGCTTTACCCAAGGGTTCTGCCTGGTTCGCCTAAACAAAAAGATTTCGGATCTCTAGTCTGGGATTCAGTCCTTGGATCTTGAATGGCAGCGGTTTCACAGCATCATGAGCCGTTCCATGGTTGGCTAATTCTTCGTGGGATTACTTGACCAGTAGAATAGCTCCTGGATCTCTAGTCTGCGGGCACACACAAACATGAAATCATTCAGTCACCAGTCAACAGAAAGCAGTTGTACAGGTGGCATAAACTGTCCCTTTGTTTGCTCATACTTCGTCAGTTTCAAATACAAAAATTGGTGCTCTTCTGACTATGTATATTGTCACAGTTTTGTTGTAGCAGTGATGTGATCTTCATAAAGCGGATCTGTTTTGTTGTCACTTGTGGAGGTAGCAGGGAGAGTTACGCCATTGGTCGTACTGCTCTGGAAGGGCTGTGAATAGTGCTCAAGGGAGAGGAAACCTAAAGGTACACTGGAGGTGAGAGCAGTATAGGACAATGTCAGGAATGGGGCAAAATAGTTCAGTCAACAAGAGTTTGAGGGAGCAAACTTTCTCAAGTTTGCTGGAGATCTTTAGTCATTTTGTAGTAACTTTTCTCTACCATTCTTTGGCTTATTGTTCCCAAGGGCTTGGTAGTGGGTCATCCTGATAGCTGGTTATGCTCGAAATAGGTTTGTAAGAGATCTTTGTACGTGTAATGAAGTGGATGTGTACAATCACTGCATATGTTTTTCTTTTTTAGCAACATGGCATTGGTCGGCCAAGCGTATACCATGCAGTGGTGGTTATATTTCTAGAATTCTTTGCCTGGGGGCTCTTGACAACTCCGATGCTAGTGGTGAGTATCAGTGATCTGATGTTGTTGTGGCAGTAATGACAAAAGTTAATTTGCCAGTTCCTAGTGATTAGGGTTTTAATTTGTTTTAGCCTTCCGGATTAACTGAATTCCAGGAGTATTAACATTCAACACTGTGCAATAGTAGTATACTACAACTGAGATCTAGACTGCTGAAAGACTAAAAGAGTGAAAAATAAACTGGCAAAATGCTGTACTACTCTTCGGCTTTAATTGCCTTTTAGAGTAATGTCAGTTTAGTGTGTTGATGAAACTGTCTATGGAAGTTCTGGCTTTTTTTTAAGACTTCCTAATTAAATTCATCTTCCAGTCATCACAATTGAGTAAGTTACGCATTCCATAGTAGACATTGTATGCTGTTGTGAGCTGGCTGTTTGGCCAGCGTGTGACTTGGAAGTCTTTTGTGTAAGAAACGGATTTTATAAGTATTCAGTCTGTTCTGGAATGTAGCTATTTTCCGGATGAATAGATAATTTGAGTGTTTGGTAATAGGATATGAAGCCTTTCATCTGAAGGCATGGGCTGCTGTTTGATTTAAATAATTTTAAATCTGGTTTGGTACGTCATACCTTTCTGTCTTGTAATGTACTTGTGGTAACTCACCCTGGGCTGCTGATCAGCCAACGGTACCAGAAGACATGTAGACCTTTCTTATGAGCAAGGTTCAGCCTCTGAACTACCAGATGCCCAGTTTTGCTCAAGCAGGTTTATCTGGTAGGAGGAATAGAAATGAAAATGTCTAGATGTTGTCTACCTGGACTTCAGCAAGGCTTTCGACACAGTCTCCCATGATATCCTCCTAGGGAAGCTGAGGAAGTGTGGGCTGGATGAGTGGTCGGTGAAGTGGATTGAGAACTGGCTGAATGGGAGAACTCAGAGGGTTGTCATCAGCGGCTCTGAGTCTAGTTGGAGGCTGGTAACTAGTGGTGTCCCCCAGGGGTGAGTACTGGGCCCAGTCTTGTTTAACTTCTTCATCAACGAGCTGGATGAAGAGTTAGAATGTACCCTCAGGAAGTTTGCTGATGACACCAAACTGGGAGGTGTGGTAGACACACCGGAAGGCTGTGCTGCCATTCAGCGTGACCTGGATAGGCTGGAAAGCTGGGCAGAGAGGAACCTGATGAGGTTCAACAAAGCCAAATGCAGGATCCTGCACCTGGGGAGGAACAACCCCTTGCACCAGTACAGGCTTGGGGTGGACCTGCTGGAGAGCAGCTCTGTGGAGAGGGACGTGGGTGTCCTGGTGGACGACAGGTT